AGGGTTTTTGGGTTTGGGGTTTTAGGGTTTAGGATTGCAGCGGGTAATCACGATGATCATGCCAAACGAGCGTGTTGCACCTGAGCCGAAACATCCTAAGCGACCAAAGCATGGAGTGGCTTGGAGGGTGTATCATGCTTCACGGAGCAGGACATGTTGAGGTTGTTTAGACCTAGCAACAGCAACGACAGAGCACGTAAAGGGAAACAGCTAACTAAGGAGAGTACGGGAGTCTATAGACAAATTGAGATTGCCGTGCAGACAATTTGCGCACCAAAAATCGCTCAGGTCCAAGAGCATAGAACAAAAGATACTGTGCGCAATAGGAACAATTGCCTTTAGCATTTTTTCAAGTGATTTCGAGCTTATCTCCGATAGCAGCTCTATAACCACTATGAAGCAGGAGCCAATGAATGAGCATGTTTGTCAAATGCTAAACTACGCTATATCGCGTGATGCTACAGCAAGTACAGCATAGATGTGTTCTTTGAGGGCTTGTGGAACGTCCTGTCAGTGTCAGTCTGCACTTACGGCTCAAAAAGGCACCTATCTTTACACCTACAGGGGGGTGCTGTTTGGGATCCCATTGACATTGAAAGCCCGGGCATTCCACCCTGGATTCGGGCAGTTGGGTCGTTGGTTAGCAGAGGAGCACTCCGACGTCGACGCCCACCCGATTCCGCACTCGAGGAATTTAACTCCTAAACCCTAAATCCTAAGCCCTAAACCCTAAGCCCTAAGCCCTAAACCCTAAACCCTAAGCCCTAAACCCTAAACCCTAAACCCTAAGCCCTAAACCCTAAACCCTAAACCCTAAACCCTAGAGCCCGAGACCGAGCCTGTGGAGGTGGTGGCAAAGTCGAAGGCTGCGCCTGCACCGAAGCTGACCACCCTCGAGGCTTCTGAGGGTTCAAAGGAGGTCTGGGATGAGGGTTTAGGGTTTAGGGTTTAGGGTTGAGTGCATCAAGCTATGGAGCTGCTTGGTTGTGGCTTACAGTAAGCTTAGAGAGCTGAGGTCTTCGGGGATGGCTTCAAGGGGGGCTTTACGGCTGGGGATTCCTAATGTTGTGGCGATCAGGAGCCCTTCGCTCCGCTATCTTGTGTGGTAGCTCGGGGTTGGTGGGGATGCTCGCAACACCACACACACACACACGATATGCAGGCATAACTGACGTCTGGTACAGCTGCCAAAGCCCAATCCCGAAACCTGCTTGGGCGATCGTGGGCCGTGGTTCGTGCGGCTCTCCCGGCAGGACAAGAAAAAGTTTGTAAAGATGTGGGAGCACAAAATCGACGACAAGGAGTGCGAGGCAAGTCTCCTCCTATGCAGCTGCCTTTGAAAAGCACTGGTTTAGGGATTAGGGTCTAGGGTTCAGGGTTTAGGGTTCAGGGTTTAGGGTTTAGGGGCTCTTCATGGGAGGATCAAGCCATGAAGCAGCACAGGAGGTGATTTTCGGGTTCGAGAGCTCTGAGCAGCTAGTGATCAGTGAGCCTGGCCCCACTTTGTGATTCTTCTCGGACGTACGCGCGTTCCCAGCCTGTGCCAGCCAGAGGCATGGCTGCGCTGCATGTCCACGATCCATGCGCAATCTAGAAATCTGGTTTCTGCTTCTGCCATGGCTGATGGCACCGTGGTCCTGACCGTTAGTTTGCAGTCTATGTCTCCGCCCTCCCCATCACCAAAGAGCAGGTGGAAGCTGAAGCCAACAAGAAAGCAAAGAAGGCAGGCCCAATCCGACCGACCCTCCCGATCCTGTGACAGAAAGCCGGCCGCTTCCGTCTTCTGTGCAGCACGGTCAGCTCGAGTGATATATGATATATCAGTTATCTATATATATATATACAGCAGCATCGCGTGGTAGAGGGCGATGTCAGTAGCACTGCCTTGTCTCATGCCAGGACCTGGAAACTGCGCTGAAAAAGCTGCAGACAGACGAAACCTACCTCAAAGTGAAAGAGGAGACTGCGGGCTTTGAATCACCAGTCAAGTTAAACCCAGTAGCCGTTATTCCAATGTTGAAAGAAGCTTGGGATTCGTTAATCTGATGTCCTTTTCCCTGGCATTTCAGAGGCCTGGACGAGTCCCAAGAACTAGATCCAGGAAGGAACACACATGAGCAGCATCTCGGGCCTACTATAGCGTCGCGGGCCATGGGTCGGGACGAGCTATGGGATTAAATCAAACCGAGCTTGGTCATGCCTGGTGGATGGACTATCCAAAGTGTTTGGACCCGGCGAACGGTCCGCTTCAGATTTTTCGGGATTCCGGAAGATAAGAGGGGGAAGACCGCCCGGTGTTTCATCGACAGGAGATAAAGGAACAGGAGATGCAAGGAAAGCGCGCCAAACTCAGCGAAACCTGCAGGGGATTTCGATTCGATTCAACAAAGCCCCAGCAACTGGGAAAGCCTAAACCATGCCAAACCCTCTATATACAGCCTTCTGTTATGTCGCATCGCACAGCCTTGGCTGCCTTGCATGAAATTTCGCAGCTCTAAGGCGAAGCTGAGCGCGCGGCTCTGTCTGCAAAGACAGATGCCAAGGCTTGGCACAGGATGCAATACAGTGGCCTGAGCAGTCAGAATAGTGTTTCGGGGTATATATTTTCCCGTAATGCTACTCCGGGGCACAGTTGTCATGGGAAAAGAGGGTCAAGGGATTCCAAAAAATAAGTACCTCACTATCAGTGTTTCCTGCAATACCTTGATGAGGGATCTTTACCCCAAACATAGGATCGTGATGTTAATCTGCCCATTTAGTCTTGTGCGGGGGGGGGGGGTTCAGACTGGCTGCATGCACGAAACTCGCTGGTAAGGTGCAAACCCTCACAGGCACCCGTTAGCCGTTTTCACATTCCACCCATAAATCAGCTCTGCTTTCTGTTTTAATTAGGAACAACCAAACAATCAGAATGATAGCAGTTATGATTATCGAAGACTGAAGAAGAAACAGTAGTAGTAGCAGTAGTAGCAGTAGTAGCAGTAGTAGTAGTAGTAGCAGGAGTAGTAGTAGTAGTAGTAGTAGTAGTAGTAGTAGTAGTAGTAGTAGTAGTAGTAGTAGGAAACAGCAGCAGTAGCAGGAGTAGTAGTAGTAGTAGTAGTAGTAGTAGTAGTAGTAGTAGTAGTAGTAGTAGTAGTAACAGTAGTAGTAGTAGTAGCAGCAGTAGTAGTAGAAGTAGTAGCAGCAGCAGTAGTAGTAGTCGTAGTAGTAGTAGTAGCAGTAGTAGTAGTAGTAGTAGTAGTAGTGGTAGTGGTAGTGGTAGTGGTAGTGGTAGTGGTAGTGGTAGTGGTAGTGGTAGTAGTAGTAGTAGTAGTAGTACTACTACTACTACTACTACTACTGCTAGCACTAGTAGCACCAGCAGTAGCAGTAGCAGCAGCAGTAGCAGTTGCGGTTGCAGTAGCGGTAGCAGTAGCAGTAGCAGTAGCAGTAGCAGTAGCAGTAGCAGTAGCAGGAGCAGGAGCAGGAGCAGGAGCAGGAGCAAGAGCAGCAGCAGTAGCGCTAGGACTAGCAGTGGCAGTAGCAGTAGCAGTAGCACTGGGAGTAGTGGTCGTAGTAGTAGTAGTAGTAGTAGTAGTAGCAGCAGCAGTAGCAGTAACAGTAGCACGAGCAGGAGCACGAGCAGGAGCAGACGAGCAGGAGCAGCAGCAGGAGCAGCAGCAGGAGCAGGAGCACTAGCAGTCGCAGTCGCAGTCGTAGTCGTAGTAGTAGTAGTAGTAGTAGTAGCAGCAGTAGTTAGTAGTAGTAGTCGTATGTTCTAATTTGCTTATCCTTCTTCTTTTCTTGCTGCTATTTGTAGGGACCTGCAACAGAGCAATACAATTCTTTGGGATTCCGGAGTATGCGCATAAGATTGCTACTGTACCCAAGAAACCATTCTAGTCCTTGAGGCCCCTACATTTGCTGCTCTGCAGTGGTAACTTCCTGGTTCGACAATATCTGGCTTCCGTCGCAGAAAGAACGAAAAGCGATTGTGAACGACATCGTTGTAAGGTTTGAGGTTGCCGAGTTCTTGCCGGCTTGGCAGATTCTGTTTACGAAGGCGGCGGCTCCCAAAACGGAGAAGCCCACCGCAGCCCGGTGCTGAGAGAGAATGGCAAGCAACATTTCACAGATGCGGTTGCATGTCGGAGGCCTGGTCCATGTAGATGTCATAATGGTCATAACGCATAGAATCTAACTCTGGTTACGATGCCCTAAATCCTAAACCTAAATGAGTAGCCATTTTGGCTCAAGCCTGGGCCTACGCTTGGCGTTAGGAGGAGCGATAAAAAAACACTGGGTGCCATGATGACACCCTCGCTGCGCCTCTTCCGCCTCAATCAGCACTTGCTGACCGCTGAGCCCGTTTCGCAGCACCAGTTCCCCGACCGCATCATCTTGGACGACAATTGCCAGGCCACCTTCAACACCTACGTGAACGTCTTGTTCACGTGGAACACCCCGAAGATCAAGTCCCACGAGGACTGGAAGGACATGGCAACTAGCTTGCAGCTGTCGCTCGAGCACGTCGTCCGTGACAAGTACCCCATCTTCGCATACACCCTCGAGCGCAACCCTGACAACCACAACCGCCTGGAGCTGCACAGCCCCGGCAGCGCCCCGCCTGAGCTCACCTTCAATGAAGTCAGCGACTTTTGCCCATCCGCAGAGGCTGCCATCAGCGGCAGCTTTTCAGACTGGCCCCTCAACGTGATGCTCGTCGACGGTCCGGCCTTTTTGACCGAGGGGCGGTACCGACTCATCTATATGAAGCTCACCTGGGTCCACGATGAGGCCAACCCCGATGCCGGCAGCTACGTTGTGCTCAACTTTACCGGCGCGCACCACCTCTGCGACGGCGGTACAGTATTTCCCTTCATCAGCGAGTGGGCCACCACCTGCCGCAACCTGTGCGACACGGGCCGGCTACAGTGCTCGGAGAACGTCTACACGATGGATGTCACTGTGCTGCGTGGGCGCCGGGCCCGGAGCCCTTGCCTGCGCCGCTGGCCAAGCGTATGTTCATCCCTGTTGAGGCCGTCCTCGGTGCTCCCAAGCCCGATTTTCCCACGGTCACCGCTCGCGTCAACTTCCCCAATTCCGTCCTCGAGCAAATGCAAAAAGACCTGGAGCATGTCGTCACAGAGAGTGGCAAGGCGTTGTCCAAGAACGATGCCATGCATGCGATCGTGTGGCACAAGAGGATCGAGATCTTCGGCCCCCAGGTGACCCACGACAGCAAGCACAGCACGATCTTCTTCCCTGCAGACATTCGCGGCCGCTATCCCGGCATTGGCCGCAACCACATTGGCGACGCAACCTCCATCAACGCCGTCGAGGTCGAGGCCGCGACGGTCACCTTGGAGGAGTGTGCCCAGAAGTTCCACGACGAATCCCGAAGTGGAGCCAGCGTGGAATACTTCCGGGAGCAGCTGGATTTCGAGGCCAGTCGCACGCCAGAGAGCCGTGTCCATGGCTTCTTCACCCCGGCGTGGCCCACCTTGATCACGACCTCCGTTCGCCATGGCGCCATCTATGAGGGCCGCTTCGGACGGCAAGATGGGCAGCGAAGGTCCCATAAACTTCTCCTTCGTCCGCCCCTCGCTCGTCGTCATACCGCCCTACAGACGTCCAAGCCCCACCGACGAGCAAAAGGACTGGGAGTCCGGCAACGATATGCAAATCACCGTCCCGCTTGGCCAGGACGAGAAGGCTGCCGAGAAGTACGTGGCGTCCTTGCCGAATGGCACTCGCCTGCTTTCCATCTGGACTATAGATCCGTAGGTTTTCGGAGTACATGTTAAGACTCGACAGCAAATGTATACATGTACCAGTGGACCAGAGAATAACAACCCTAAATGAGCTTTCGCTGCGTCCGAGGCAAGTTCAGAGGCCGTTGAGGCCTCTGAGAGCGCCATGAAGGACCTTGATGCGGCTCTCGCGAGCAGCGGCAAGGACCGAGTTTTCGACAGTTTGCGCCTTTGGGGCGAAGTTTTCGGCAGTTTTAAGCCCAAGAAACTGTTGTGCCTCGGGCTGCAGATTGGCTCTGTCTCGAACGAAGCAATTCCAGGTTGAGGTGTCATTCGGCCTGATTCAGTCTCAATCCCGCTCAGCCGGCCCGTACAGTGTAGTCAAAGCTCGAATGGGAGCGTCTGGTAAACATGCTTCAGATTAACGAATAGTTCCCTCCATCTTGCAAGGGCCCCTAAATAACATACGTCTCAGTTTCTCAGAGACGCCTCAATATCTGCTGCTAATGAGAGCATGGGTTGTTGCGATACCCTAAAGTCTTCGCCGCCCTGCCGCCCTGAGCTCAGAGTTTCAACACGTTGAACCCTGGCCTAGGACGCTGCTGGAGCGAAGGTCCGGAAGCGAGCATCAAGTTCACACTTTGTTCGAAGTTGTTCCTTTGGGTTTTCAGGTACTTATGGGAGTACTTTGAGTACTTCTGATACGCGGCTGCTACGGATGTGTGAGGGGCATGCGCGTCGATGGTCCAATGGGGCACATCACAGCTTCGGCTAGCATGGTGTTGAATGGGTTGTCGCGGCAAACAGGCCCTTGACTGAGCTCTCCGGATGCAAGGCCAACGCGCTCGCAACGCTCGAGAAGCTGGCACAAGCCACTCCTTTCGTGCTCCCGAAGCTACCGGCGTGAGAAGCTGAGATGTGCATTGCCAAACGTACATAGTGGCAACGTGCAGAAGTCACTGTCGTTGCTCAGTCTGGTATATAGGGGCCTCAATAATTAGCTTAGGGTGTTGGGGTACGTTATACTGTAATAATACGAAGGAAACCCCCCCATTTTTTTTGCTCAGGCTGGTAGATCTTTTTGCGGACAGCAAGCTCGGCGCGCCAGCCATCAAGGCCTCCTTCCCACTTTGCCCTTGACAAGAGAGGAGAGGACTACGGTTGATGATCTCTCTCTCTCTCTCTCTCTCTCTCTCTCTCTCTCTATATATCCTGCATTCCCCAGAATAGGAAGCATACCATAATTCGCATAGTTTAGGATCCTTAAGGTAGTGCAGGATATATATCATCAGTCGTATGAGGAAACTGCACTGTCTGCTTTGAGGCTGCCGTCGCCATCGTCTCCAACATCCAGCCGAAGGGCCACGGAATTGCAAGCGAGGTCCGTGGACGCAGATTGCTTGCATGGCCATGCAGCAACCGGCATTCATGCAGTTGTGGGAGGGTCCAAAGCCGCATGATCTTGCTGCAGCAAGTGATTGGAGGTAATGCCAGTGCTGCTCAATGGCATGCAGGCTCGCAGCATCGTGTACTTGGGGCTGTCCAGATTCATTGCAGCGGTGTGCTTCCCGTCGAGTTCCAATCTTGATGAATAGACTCGCTACCGGCCAGGACAAGCGGTGGAAAACCAAAGCTGGTTGCATCGATGTGCTGCTACCATGCCTTCTTCAGATGTTCGTGCTACCCCCAGGGAGTTTCAGCCGGCACAGACACACTCGTCACGGCATCTTCCCAGCAGCCCATGCATGAGGGGCGAGTGGACAACCTGTCCAAAGTTCTTGCATTTGAACATCTGCTCACCCAGGATGCGACCCCCGGGTGCTCGCCTAAGTCGACCAAATGCTTGCATATGACATATGAACCTTGCTGTCACACTTTCAGCTCGCTCGCCGTGCTGACTGCCGTGACAAACCAATTGCACATGGACCACTCTACTCAAAGAAATCTCGTGTAACACGCAATTGTCAAGATTCCATGGAGCTTTGACTTGTGCTGAGACCTGGAATTCGACGCCAGCCCGAGGCAGCTAGCCGAGTGTCTGCCGCAGATTCTTGCGCGGCTGGCGGAGGCTGCATTGGAGGCGCAAGCAGTCAGTTGTGCACCAGGTATGTCAATCTATTTCTCCACTGGTGCAGTTCGGCCGGACATATTGGATTTCAATGCCAGCAACGTTTGCGACAAGATGTAGTTGTGGGGGTGTTTCATGAGCACTTCGGAGATGCTGTGGGGCCCGTAAGTCTTCGCGCGCAAGGTCAGGGCCGAAATCCGCACTGCCACGGGGGTCCCGGCCTCTGTTTCAACACGTCGCTCTGGAGAGTGCAAACTTTCAACTGAGAAAAGCAGTGCAGTAACAAGTTAAGCCATGCAGTATACGTGCCGTTATACATTCCAGAAGCACTGAGGCAGTGCTGCGGGAGATCGGCAACCTAGTTGCAAGTCCTGAGATCAAGAAGCTGTCTCAGGAAGCATGCAAGGGTATCTGGGAAGACACGAAATCGCGAGCCCAGAGGCAACATCATCAGTATCGTCATCGCCATCATTACCTTCATCATCACCATGATCACCATCGCCATCATCACCATCATCACCATCCTCATCAGCAGCAATGTCAGCATCACCCCGTCATCGTCACCATCGTCTTTGTCCCATGCTTGTCATCGGCATCTGCATCATCAGCAGCATCGTCAGCATCAAGTCTCATCATGCGTGCAGTCATCGTTATCATTGTTGAATCAAGATTGTCGCCACCAGAGTTCGGAACAATGTCATGCTCACAGCAGCGGCAGTACTTGTAGCAGGACGGAGTGTTGCAACTGCAGTTGTGATATGGAGACTAGAACGGACACTCTCGCCCCTAGGTGGCGCCAAGTCCCGCACACGGTCCCGGAGCCTCAAAAAAACCAGGCAAGCCTCGCTCTTCGTAGGACTTGGTGACGGCTTTGGCAGAGCCCACGAACCAGAAGCACACCCAGGCAGGGACGTTGCAGGGACAATTGCAAAGTTGTGTGCAGATTGCTAACATGGAGACATTCGGATCATCCCCCAGGTCTCCCGTCGCACCTCCATACCGTGCGACTATATTCAAGAGAGTGTAGACGAGTCGTCTGACTGTGTCTCCTTCCGGTTGGTATTTCCACAGCGCTGCAGCAATCACTGGTCAGCGCTTGAAGCCAGCAGCATTCGACAGCACTGCGGGGCCAGGACGTGCTGGCGAGGATGGGGAATCAGACATTTATGTCATTGATTGATGCCGCCGGACGCCAAGTGATCAGCTTGCAGCACTCCTTATGCGGCGGAGCATCTTTCTGAGGGGTTCAACCTGACCTCCAGGCATCCCTGTCTCTTCTGATGCCCATCGTTGTCCGAGGACTCAGGCCCGGATCATCACAGATCAAAGCTACATTACATAAGATCTGCAGAATATGTCATATCTTGTATGTTACATATTACATATATCACGGGGGCGGGTGGGCGCGGGCGGGGAACCCTCTAGACTGCTCAACCCTGAGCCCGTAGACCTCTTGAGCCCTGAATCTCTAAATCCTCCAAGCTCTTACAACCCCAAGGCTCTTAAATCCCCAAGCTCTTAAAACCCTAAGCTCTTAAAGCCCGAAGCTCTTAAAGCCCGAAGCTCTGAAAGCCCGGGATTCCTTGGATGTGCTGCCAGGGAGCGAGAGCCAGCCAGCAAAAAGTGGTCTGCTCAGATCTTCGGCCGGACCCTCAGGGGTTCCATCTTAAAGGAAGTATAAGGGCTCTTATTATACGGGATCTATAAGGGCACTACAAGGGTTCAGGGTTTAAGGGGAGGCTTTATGGCTTTTGGGGTTTAGGGTTGAGTCCGGGGCTTGGGGTTTCGAGGGTATTACGGTTTTGGGTTTGCGTGAGGGAAGGAGAAATACACACACAACATTGAGGATGCTAGCAGGGATTTGCATGAACAGAGAGGGGGATGGTGATAGCACGAATAAGCATATCACGAGACATACGAGACTGAGATCGACGGTAGTAGTCCCTCTAATGTCAGTAGCCGTAGTAGAGTCAGTACAGAAGTGGATAAAGCAACAGGCTAAGTTGATATTGCAGTTTGGTTCAAATGCTCGCGCCAAGGATCCACATCGCAGCTGGTACAGAATGCTCCCAGCTCAGTTCTTGATTCATATGACATGTCAGCCAAGCTTCGAGATTTTTCGACGCGAAAATAGCTCTCGTGTTAGAGACAGCGGCAGGCCAGAATGGAGAATGCATGCTGAGGTAGATTTCATGAAGCCATACCTGCCGATGGTTGCCCACTCCTCAGCCGGTGAACATGGGGCGCCTAACCTCTACAAATCTGTAATGTCCTAGGCCCGCTTCCGGACTGTCTGGACCTATAGGTTTGCCGAGACCTAGAAGAGAGTGGGGAGCTCTGTAAACCTACCAGCCACCGCAGACCGTGGGTGCAGCCACACCCCAAACCCCAAGCCTAGACCCCTAAACCCTGAACCCCATTCTGAAACCCCAAACCCTGAACCCCAAGTATTACCAGGCCCTCACAAACTGAGCCACAAAAACTTCCGAGGCGCCCATGCTGGAGCAGGCTTTGTTCGACCCTGTGTCCGAGGTGCGCGATTTGCCGCTCACTTCTTCAGGGTTTAGGGTTTACGGGTTTAGGGGTTTAGGATCTAGAATTTAGGGCTGAGGGTTTCAAGTTCAGGATTTAGGGTTTAGGGTTTAAGCTTGAAGGGTTTATGGCTATGGTTTAGGGATTGAGGCCGGAAAGCATTTAAGTCTCGAGCATATCCAGGTCGTGCGATTCTTTGGTACCCAGTAGTCGAATTCGATCTCCCTGGAAGGAACTCCGACCCGAACCTTAATTAGCCGATATCGGCGGAGCCTCTGAATCCCGAGTCCTATGCACAAGCTCATCTACACCCTAAATCCTAAACCCTAGATGAGACCCCTAAACCGTAAACCCTAAACAGATCCTAAACCGGTCATAGTCATAGGTCAAGCGCGAAGCGGCCAAGACCTTCGGCGTCATGGAGCAGGCCACAGAAGAATGTAGATATAGTATCTATAGTGTACTCTCGTATCTTACAGTATATTGTAGTATGAGTATGTTTGTTATATGATTATACAGTACATTACAGTAATTATATCACAGTCATGTTCCTTCTTTGCAGCCGCTGGATGCGATTGCTACTTTCCGCTGTTTGTGCTTGTTCTTGATTTGTGCTAGCTGTGGCCGGGTGGCTAAGCGGTTGACAAGGGGCACATCTCCTCAACAACCCTCATCGTCCTTATCTCATCATTCATCGTCGCTCCTGCGGTAAGGTCTTTGATCGTTTTGCTTCTTGGCAACCGGGGAACGGGCGGCACTGGAGTCTAAAGATCCCAGCATGGTGTCACTACAAGCTGTTATTGACATCCGTACAACGATACTCAGGCATGAACCCTAAAGGGGTCATGTAGTACATAGCAGCGGCTATATACGTGATGCTATCAAAGCATACTCATGCAATAGCAACAACGGCAGCTGCTGCAACGGCACCGGGGTAGTCCGTAGTTGTCGGAGTAATCGCAGCAAAACTCGTGGACATCACCACCATAGTGATAGCCCGGCAGTAATTCTCAAGACCGGAACGGCAGAAAGAGCCTTTGCCCAAGATCCTGAAGCTCGAAAACGAACGGCAGCTCATGCTTTGCGGGGCCACAATATCCGTACGATAGATCTCCGTCTCCCTACGCCCCTTACCATGGCCCTACCGCGGCGAAGTCTAGGATTTCACTGCCCTGGACCCTAAACCCTTTTCAAAAGGACCCTAAAAGCGACCCGAATTCTGAACCACCCTAATCCCTAAAGGGACCCTGATTCTGAACCCACCCAAACCCGCTAAAAGGGACCCTCAATGGGACCCTAATTCTGAACCCCCCTAAACCCTAAAAGGGATCCTAAAACCCTGGAGCTCGAAAAAGCACAAAAGCCTTATATAGCATGGTCTTTGGGCTTAAACGCCTTAATACACGAGTCCTTAGAGCCCTAGGGTAAACCCTAAACCCTATAAACCCTATACCCTAAAACCTAAAACCTTAACCCTAAACCCTCAACCCTATACCCTCAACCCTAAACCCTAAACCCTAGAAACCTAAAACGAAGGTGTTGCCCCAGTATTCGCAGCAGAAGCTGCAGCCATGGCTCTTCGGGAAGCTCCGGGCAGGCTCAGATCGGAAGAGACTCACCACTGAAGGGTTTAGGGTCGAGGAATTCGGTTTAAGGGTTTAGGCTTTAGGGTCTAGGAATTAGGTTTAAGGGTTTAGGGTTTAGGAATTAGGTTTAAGGGTTTAGGCTCGAAAGAAGGGGATCTTGGGAGATTGGACTGTTCGTGAGGTTTCCAGTCGGGGGGGCAAGGGAAGACTGCCTGCTATATGTGATTAAGTATAATATTCCCCATTACCTATACTAACTATTAAGGGCCCTCCATTTGCTATTGTTGTTACTTGTAACACTACATTGGTTAATTATAGGATTCCCCATGACTTACTGTGTTATACAAATTATTAAGAGCCCTATATTTGATTAATCATAGTATATATTCCCCACTACCTATAGTGCTTCTTAAGGGCCCTTGCTTCCGTGGCTCAAGCACCCTCTTCGCGACTGCCAGGCGAGCAGGCGGAACAGCGCCAGCCCCAGCCGTGGAGTTGCGAAGAGTTTTTCTAAGTAGTGCTCCTTTTACGGGTTTAGGGTTTAGTGTCCTTGTAAAACTATACCAACTTCTAGTTTTGATTTCGTCATCAATGAAGAAGCTGTAGTCCCGTAGTCTGTTCATGGTGAGTTCACTTCTGAGACTGCAAGCGTTCCCCGATCGAAGGCGCCTTGCGAGTGTTGCAGCCACAGCTGTCCGGATCCATGGCAAAACCATGTGCAATATAGCTCAGCCGACAGAAGGGTTGCTCATGTCTATACATAGGTGTGCCCAGTATATATCTACATCCCGGAAGCCTCCCGAAAGAGCCGCGCCCTGTAGACTTGCATTGAGCCTGGCCCGTAGCCTCTTCAGCACCATGGCCAGCATGAAGGAACAGGTCCTGGGCTGGGCGCTCGCAGCATCGAGGTTCCCACAGCCAACCAAATCAAGTATTGGGTTGGTTGTTGAAGTCGAGACTTCGCTGAACGGGGTGCAGGCATGGAGACAGCTGGTGGCTTCCATTCGTGCTCCTGGCAGTGGGCAACTTAGTGCTTCTTTCCGGGATGGGACTGCCACTTCTCGTCGCCACGAAACGCTTAGGTCTGCACTGTGAATTCCATCACTGGCGGAGTGCTCACTTGGTCTGTCGGGATGATCCAGTGCCTTGGACTTTGGATGTCCGCGGTCTTTGCTGTTTTGCGTCGTGCCTAAGCAGCCTGATCGGAAGCCTCCCTACTTCTTTCAACATGTTTCAGAAAACAGCTATGCTACTTGGCTGGATCCGCATACCGTAGACAGACTTAGACATCCGTCTTGCCATAGACGATTGGTGGTGAGACTTGTCGCGACTCGGGGCAGCTGTGGTGGTTGCAGTTGGGGCTGCTGGACGGTACTTGTTTTTTTGCTTTCGTTTTGGGTGCTCCTAGAAGCAGCATCCATGCCTTGGCGTGTCAGGATGCTGCTCTTCAACATCATCGCAGCTTGGCAGCTTCTTGAAAATCAAGCCCTCCCTGAATATAGTCCTGAACGAAAGGCTGCTTGCAGACTTCCAGGTGCTGTCCCGGAAGAAGACATTCTTCATCGCGCCCCTGATGTTGAGCATTGGCTCCCTGATAGCTGGCTACTTCTACGTGGAGATAATGATCCTCGGAGAATGGTTTGTTGCAGTGGTCGGCTTCGGTCGTGTGCACAACATCAGCCACAGCCACAAGCTACGGCCACAACCAAAACAACAACCAGAACAACCACAACCACAACAACAACAATGACAACACAACCATCATGAACAACAAGAACAGCCAGAAGAGCAACCCGAACAACAAGGACAGCAATAACACCAAGAGCAACAATAATCTCAAGAGCAGCAGCAACATCATGGTCAACAACAACATCAACATCAGCATCAGCATCTACAGCATCTGCAAGAACAACAACAGCAACAACAACAGCAGCAACAGCACGGCAGCAATGACAACCACGACAACCATGTCAACAGCGCCAACAGCGGCAACGACGAGAGCAATCACAACGATAATAGCGACAATGGCGGCAGCAGCAGCAGCAACAACAACAACAACAACCTCGATTGCACACTGTCCTGGTCATTGTTTGCTCTCCAGCTTGGCGAAACTACTGCTCTGGCAGTACTATCATCTTTTCAACCACAAGCATCGGTATTGGTAGTGGTTGGTAGCTGTAGTAGCTACCCGAAGCCCTCTGGAGTGTGGAGTGTCCCGGAACCTAGAGCTCAGGCCGTTGAAGCCTCTGACTCTGGCATACGAGCATCCTCTGTGATCCCCGTCTAGTTAGAATGTTGGCGACCCCAGTCTGCTCAACGAATGAAGTTCCTCTTCCTCGGTACACCTTGATGCCCAAGAACACTAGGGCCCCGACTTGAGTCAGATCCCTGAGGAAGTCAGAGGGCCAACGAGCGCTGCTGGCAAAGGCCCGGGTTTCACACAACGCGCGGATGGTTAGAAAGCCGGTGTTCGAAACCTCTCTGGCAAGCGGCCATGAACCTAATGTAGATGCAGGAATAATGGATCATAATATGCCTTACAGTCCCTACATACAGTATCTGTACTAAGACTGTATAATGAGAACCCCACTTCATGTATAAAGGCCCCTAGTCATATTTCTTCACACACCAATATTCAAGCTGTTGGAGCTTGAACCCTCCGGCCGGAGATTGATGAAAGACACTAGTAGGAGCAGTCTGACAAGTCAGAGCATCGAGCTTTGTCTACGGGGGGGGGGGTTACAATGTTCGAACCTTCAGCCGCACGGGGTGAACAAGCACAGTAGATCAAAGTGTAGGATTGCAGGACCTGGTCACCAAGCGGCAGAATTCCCAAGATGCGGATGCCACAAACCCTGACCCCAAACCTATGCGTGAAGTCTAAACATCATGGACGACCAAACCCAACACCTGGCAACAGCATTAGTATGCACGCCGTGAACGGACATATTGCATAGCAGGCGGTAATCGTCGCTGTGGCCGTGTCAACATCAACAGCAATTCATATGTGTGTGTGTATATATACACATGCATGCATATGCTTAGGCGTCACACGAGCAGTAAGATCATTAGCCAAGAGCGAGACACGTAGTAAGTAAGAATATGCTGAGTATTTGCACTAGCATCAATAAACGCTGGACTGTCAAAAACGCTGCTCAAAGCAGCAATCACATATGAGTTTGTTACTTTAGCAATAGCAGTACCTTTCACGCACAAGAACACTAAAACAAACAACTGAAGCAGCCGAAGCCGAAGCTGCTAAACCAGTGATGCGTTTGATTCCGAAGGCCGGTGTGGAGGATTCGCAATGGCTGGCGAAGGCTTCGTTGCTTCTTCATGGTGTCACTATGGAGAAAAGGATGTGGGGTTCTTAGAACGTTTTCTTTAGGCGTCAGGATACTCGCTTGGGATGGGCATGCGTGAAGGTGGCGAGTCAAGGCTTGCCGGCGTTTCGGCAAGTATAGTATCGTATAGTACAATGTATTGCAGCTTCTTATGGCACTGTATCTTACATAATGGTAAAGTAAACTGCAGAACATCATAATGCTGCCGAGACCTCCTCCTTTATGTTCGAAGGTCTTCAGAGGAAAAGGGCCCAAACCCTGAGCTCCAAGTCCGGGAGCCTGCAGTCTGAACCTGCTGCAGCAGTCCGCAGGCACGCGAGTGGGCCAAAGATTGGGGAGTTCTTGGCCTCGTCGGAATGCAGGCATGGGTTGCCAGTTGGGGGTATTGGGGTTGTGGGACATGTCGATCCGGGGATCTGTTGGGGCTGAGAGATGGTGACGGCACTACGTACCACACCGATCCTTCACACATATATTGGGAGCTGTCGCAGCTGAAGCACTCGATGAGTGGGTTGTGTATCCACCTCTAGCAAGCATGTTCGTGGTTCCCAGACAGGTAGTGCCGATTCCTATTCCGACAGCAGTGATCGTGATTTCCGGCGTGCTCGCTGAGATGGATGGCTTCAAGATTCTTGCCGCTTGACCGGCTCTGGCCTCCCTTACTACCATCATTGAGGATGTTATTGTCATTATTATTTATACTATTATTATTATTGTTAATATGATTATCATTAATTTTATTTTTATTGTTATTATTATTGCTATTATCGTTGTTATTCGTAATATTTTGACATCCAAAGCAATACTGGTCAGGAGGTGAAGTGTAATCGCATTGCTAATCTGGGTTTCGATATGGTATACTATGCTGATGATACCATCCTTTTCTCACAATGAAACAGGGGGCTAAACCAACTTGTGAGTCTTACCGAGAGAATTTCGCAAAACGACGGGTTGAAATTGAATCGGGCTAGGTGCTTAGTTGTTCCCATGAATAATGATGGTAGTATTCATTTCTATGATGGTACTGTACTCACAAAGAGTTATGAATCCACTTACTTGGGAAATGACATAAATAGGGATGATAACATCGCACATGAAATCTTGAACAAGATGCAAGAAGTTCGCTGCACATGGCTTAAACTGAATGCTCATTGGAAGGCAACCAGAGCCACAAAGAGATTGAAAATCATGGTGTATCATGCGATCATCCGTAGTAAGCTACTTTATGGTTTAGAGACAACTGATCTTACACCTGCTTTAGCGAAGAAGCTGGATGCCTTTCAATACCGTGTTTTGAGAAAGGTTATGGGTATGACTTCGACGTATATCCAATGCAATTACTAATGAAAGACTTCCTGCAGCAGCATCTGATGCAGCATTCACAAATCCTGGTGATACCCGGAAAGTTTCACCGTTCAGTAGATGTCACGAAGAGCACTGGGCGAACTTCTTGTCCATATCTTACGAAGTTACGACGCAGACCAGTTGAGGCAAGTTTCGTTTACATCAAGTTCCGCTACCCACATAGACTATGGAAAGAAGAGGGTAGGCCGGCCAAGACAAGATTGGGTCATGTTCAGCAAGAAGTATGTTTATGAAAAGAAACTTCGTTTGCCCAACTATACAGAAACTGCTGAGCAAGACCAGCGGGTATATGATGCAGCTTTGCGAAGGCAATCTTAACTCCAAGGTTCCAAGGGTAAAAGGAGGGACCCTTAATAAGGACCCCTAGGTATATACCCTTAATATAGCTATTGTATAGCCATTATATAGCCCATTATAGGGTAGGGGTCCCCATTAAGGGTCCCTCCTTTTCCCCTTTGAAAGGTTTTTGTTGTTTCCGTGCCCGTGCTGCGCCAACGCCTTGCTTTTGAGCGACTCGCAACTGTCACAGCAGGGTAGACCTGAAAAAAGTATTCGTACTAGTATGTTAGTATTCCTAGCATGAGTATTAGTATCGGTAGTGCGTTTATTCGTCGTGTCGTATTCTCATTATTCTCATTATTTCTGATTTTCATTACTACTTCTACCATTATTGTTGTTCTTGTTGTTGCCCTAATATTCTAGTAGTAGCCACCACCCATGTTCTAAACCCTCAGTCAGTGCTGTAACTCGCCCCTGATACCAGGAGCCCCGAAGAGTTTGAATATGGGCTTTGAAGCTGAGGTGACCGTTTTCACCAGCAAGTGTCTCGTCGAAATGTTCATGCGCTGCTCAGGGCGCTGGGTTCTACGACGCTCGCAAAGAGCGCCAAGTAGATGTAGCATGCAGCATGACAGCTGTGCTTCAAGGTTCATTCAGCTGACCCTTGGTGCAATCGCCCTGAAATATGCAACGGAGCACCAAACTCCTGAACAGCTTCTCGGCAAGTTGAGCACGGATGTGTTTGCAGCCGTCATGCGAACTTTCTCGTGACTGTGTAGGCATGTTGTGAATCCCGATCTGTCTTAAGCAGTACCAATACTGTTTTCCTGGGACGCTATTACAACTGTAGTATGATCTACTGCGAAGCACTGCTCCAATTATGCCGAGGTACATCCGCCAGCAGATGGAGGGGGACAAGGCTGCAGAAACCAAAAAAGATGAGTGAGCCTCGGGTGGTGCCACGTAGTGCATGAAGAGGCTTAGGAACGTATTGTACGGGGCTTAGTAATCCGAATGGGGTTTGGGGTATAATCTACAAAACCCTGTTCTAGCCATTAAAGCCTCTACCTTAGACTGCGGGACAGATCCCCAACACTGCTTCGAAGTTCGTGGGCCCTCTTGCTGGTTCATGGGTACTCAATCAGTGGGGTTATAAGTCCCCTAACGTAGGCTATATCTCTAGCTATCCTACGTGTAACTACCCATGAACCTCCCTTATAGAAACCTTACAGAGCCCTTGTAGATCCCTTATAGAAACCTTACAAACCCTACTTATAACTACCCATGAGCAGCCAAGTGGAGCCAGTTTGCGCCTTGAGCAGATTCAAAGTCCAACCCGGAGCTTCAGAGAAGCCGCGTGAACGCGGAAGCTCCAGGAACACCGAGACGCGGTTCCGAGGAAAACAGAGGCTTCGTGCTTTGAAACTTTGGGGGCTTAGGAGTGAGGGTGGACATATGTGTTGGCCTTTACGGTATAGCTTCTTCCACTTAGTAGAGGGAGTTTCTGCCGAATGAAGAATTTCCACTACACATGTCGCTTTTGTGTGTCTTTGCGTTGGTATTGTTGTTGTGGTTGTTTCGTGGTTGTAGTCGTCGTCGTCGTTAGTGTTGGCTGTTGCTGCTGCTGTTCCCCACTCTGCAGGGAGATCTGCGGAAGCTCGAATTCTACATTCGGCTCGGGTCGGCTATCGATTTCGCTTATCCATAAATTTCTGCCGACCTGCATCTGTCTAGTTTTCGTACCTGCGCATTTCCGTGCTTTGTACAGGCATATGAATAGAAAGGCAGCTACGACGTGGACGGCCATTGCTTGTTAATCTACTTGTGGCCTCATGCAACGGACCCCCACACTGCTGTACTAGTATTGGATTGGATGTCAATATAACGAATTCAAATGGTAACAATATGAAATAGTAATAGCAACAATAATAAGAATAGTCTTAGTCTAACTGTGCAAACGATGCCAACCATGTCATTCGCCAACATAGAACAGTACGGTCCTCGTGAGACTTGCCGAGGAATGGTGCCGCTCTCGCTTTGGCAGAGACCCTGACGAAGATGGACAAGGTTGGGCCTTTGATGCTGCGACATCTGCTAAAACGCAGTCGTCTGAGGAGCTAGCAGCAACCTACATCGGAGAGCTCCAAGCCGGGGCCAGCGATGCAAAATGGCAAGTGAGGCTTGGGGCGTGCACATGCCCCGCAGCACAGCACCGAGCCAAAACTCAAATCCACTCCCACGAAGTCTCTTGCAGCCGTGCTTGCTTTGTTGCTCCTTCTGTTTCTTGCCGCAACAGCTTGGCTTATGGTTTCGGGTAGGGGCAGCCTTTGGAGGGCACCCAACGGACCCAAGGAGAGGCCATGGACCGCTGGGCCCAGCCTGTGCCGCTGCAAAGACTAGCGGATGTTCCGACTTGGTTCGATAGCTTTGATTCTTCCGGCGTGCCAGGAGCAATGCCCCAAGTGATGGAACCGTTTCAGGCACCAGCCGCAACGTGGATGATCCGGATGTTCAAGACGCGGCCCTGCAACATTGATGGCGAGCATGACCACCGTGCTTGCCCCTGGTATCACAGCGAACGTGAAAAGAGACGTCCGGTATTGATTGAAGGCTCTTCTCCAGCCTATTACAGCGTGCCTTGTGAGCTTCGCTTTGACGATGAGGGAATCTGTCCCAAAGGCGACTTGTGCGACCGTTGTCACAGCAACACAGAGCTCCTTTATCATCCGGACCTTTACAAGAAGCGCTTTTGCCATCAACCCCGCAACTGCGCACGTGGTAAATTCTGTGCTTTTGCACACTCCCGTGAGGAGCTGCTTGCACCGTACTTTTCACCAGAGGAAGAGAACCATCCGACCGAAGAGTTTATGGCACATCATTTCAAGACGCAGCGCTGAGCTCAGAGTCATGGGCAGACCATGCCCTTGTACTAATGCATGGAGTCTACATCATGTAATCCGAGTACTGGGTAAGTGGTAGAGTCCGGTAGAGGCAGGGCAATGTTTGTCAGATTGCGCGCTCAATTGTTGAGGTGGTGCCCAATTGGCGGCCCTCACGATTGGGAGAAGTGTGTCTATGCCCACACCTACCGCGACTTCCGGCGAGTGCCCGCTCTTGGGTATTCTTCGCAGCCCTGCCCGCGCTGGGTAGCGAGCACGAAGCTGAATCTTTGCTGCCTTGCTGCCAAACTTGTTCACCTGTTGCCACAGGGCTACGATGTCTTTGCTTCACTTCAGGCTTTTGATGTACGGGTGTAAACTGCAACGTATGCATGAACATACATGATTTGTGCCATTTGCATGTTCGACTCGCTGCCCAGGAATGCTGCGGACACAGACTACCTTACTCGGTGCCCTCTTGGGTTCACCTGCCCGTTGGCGCATGGCGCAAAGGAGCAACTCTACCACCCAAGGTTCTACAAAGCCAACCCCTGCAGCGACCGGCACTGCCGGCGGCGTGTGCTTTGTGCCTTCACCCACGGGGAGGCTCCCAGAATACGGGTGGAACACAGGAGGGTGAACCAGTGGAGGATGATCCCCGATGCAGAGCTGCTCCTGGCTCAGTTCCAGCCCAACTTCGCACGGCCTCCAGTCTACTTGTCGGAGGATCCCAAGGCCCAGAGCCCCAAAGCCGGCAAAGGATCCAAAGCCCAAAAGCCCGAGAGGAGGGAGGTTAGGGAGAAAGAGGTCCCTTACAAAGTCACTAAGCCAAGCCACGAGGGAAGCCTCGTCCTGGGCCCCACTCAAGAAGCCTCGCCAGTCTTACCGGGCTTCTCGGCCCCAGCGGCTCCTCCTCAATTTGTGGACTTTGCGGGGTATCAAGCTCCGCTGCTGCTCCCGATGTCCCCGTGCTCTGCTGGGAGCTTCGTCATGGCCCCAACCAGCCCGACATCCGGGATGCCCTTCCCACCCAACGAAACTCCAAGCAACTGGCTGAAGATCCCCAAGCCGGACCTTGAGACAGACTTTGGCCCACCAAGAATACACATTTTGTCCTTTTCGTTTTGAGGAGTTTCCCCTTCAGATTGAACCTTTGCCTTAGCAGGCGGAGGACTTCCCCCTTTAGATTGAAACTCAGAAGATAGAGGAATCCTTTTTTCTAGGGGCCCCTGGCGACCGAGGGCTCCAACGGGTGGCGCACCAACTCTTCCTTCGGCCCCGGTACCTTTGTCATCGTTGGGTAACATTTTTACATGTTGATGAGTACTTACACCCAATACCTCCATCCCCACAAGTAGGTAAAATCACGGCCCCAATGCCCATAACAGGCCATTATTCCACATATTTTTGGGGTCCAGGCAAGGAATAGAAACTTGCTTCTTTGTAGTACTGTCCCAGTCATGAACCAGGTACACCGGTGGCCTCCTTGCCATCTACGCCAAGATCCGTGGTGCCTTCATCCAGTACGAGGTGGTAAGTTGATAAAGTAGGGGACCCTAACATCGACACAGGATCTTCCATTTTTTAAGACTTATAGTAGTGCGGCTGATGATATAAATCCTGCATTACCATGAGCTGAGGAGGAATATACCGTAATTCCCATAGTTTAGGGTCCTTAAGGTAATGCAGGGTTTATGTCATCAACCGTACTAGTAAATAACAGTAATAATAAGAATGTGAACATCCCTTCCCAACAGGTCCCCGAACTCTAAAGACGCCCTGAGGTCGGGCTCCAGCCCGATTGCCGAAGCTGAGGGCTCCGGCTCGCCTGTGGCGGCACTTCCAATTCCGATCTCCTTGCTGCGGCCATGAGGTCGTTTATTCCTACGCCAGTCTGAAGCAGTTTTCCCGGAAGCCCAGGCAACTTGAACAGGACAGCGACCGCGCAGTGCAATGCAGGTTATAGACATGAACGTCGGTGCAGCTGTGGTTCGAAACGGAGCGCTAGTTTCCAGGTCCTAGTCTTTTACTTGCCTTGCCTCATCTCGTTTTGGTGGAAGCCTGTGGTTCCCGATATGCCAAATCTTCCCATGCATGCGATTCCAGAGTTTGCAGTCATAGCTTGGCATGGGCCAGGCTGCCCTACTCTTGCCATGATGGGTTGCCGCATGGCAGAGGTGTGTATGGTGCCAGGGCTTATTTTCATGCGATGAAACCATTACCATCCCAAAGGGATGTTGGGCGGCGAGGAAGGGAAGGAAAAAGGTGCGGACTGCTCGATTCTACTGAGATCCAGGAAGACTTCGCCGAAGCTAAATTTTCGATCTGCGATGAAGCGATTGGGATATGGCCAACACTCGCACCTGCCAGACAGCATCGCAAAGTTCATAGCCTACTTGGAGGGTCATGGGACTTAGTAAGTATGGTTATAAGTTATAGGTACCTTAAATGGGGTTTTAAGCAAGTATAAGTATGGTTACCCTAACAGTAACCCTAGTTACTAAGTCCCATGATCCCCCAAGTATGGTGTCTACTGCATTTGTGGCGACAAGCTCCTGGAAGGCGCGGCTTCCTTGAGCTCATGGACACCATGCCACAGGTCTGTCTGAATTCCTTTGCACGTCATTTTTGTTGGTGGGGTTGAGGGTTCAGGGAAGTTTAGGTCTTAGAGTTGGGGCAAGCTTCAATTCGACCGTGCTTCGAGAGGCCATGAAAATGGACTTCGCCCCCTACATTGAGCAGTTGTTCCCGCCTATGTTGATGGGAATCACAGGCACCGCGTTGCATTTCGGCCGGTGAGAACGTGTCCTGAGCAGCATCTGTAGTTGCACCACAGAAAACGATTGGCCACGGGTGACGGAACAAGACTTTCGCCCTGTTTGCCTCTCTGTCCGTCTGTCTCTCCGTTGATACGTTTTTGTTTCTCTCTCCTTCTCTCTCTCTCTCTCTGTGTCTGTGTCTCTCTTTGTCTGTCTCTTCTGCCCATTCCATCTGTTTGGCTGCGCCTTGCTCCCTCGTTCTCTTCCCGTCACCCACACACTGGAGTATCCCTTGCAGCTTCATGGCTTGTTGAGGCGACAAGGATCAGAACGAGGACACCGCTGCTTCATAGCTCTGCTTCGCGACCTGTTTGTTGATAGTGAAGCTGGAAACGGACCACTGGATCTGGGCTTACGGGCTTCTCGTGGTTTTGTTGCGCTTGTACCTGAGAGTCATGTCCTGACCGTACAGGGAGGAAACCATTGCCCACACAGCACACTGTGCATCCATATTACATACAGTCCGACAATGCACTGCTCAGACGACGCTGGATGCGAAGAGCCTTGAAGACACTTTCGGACGCTAGCACACGACACCAGGGCATCAAATCCAGTCTCCAAACCTAGGATAGCATCCGTGCTACAAGGCATTTCGTGCAGCACCATGGAACAGATCCTTGCAAGTTCACCAGGATCCCGGCCACCGTGCTGCCTTGGCATTGGTGCAGCGTTTTGGAGACTTGTGCCGGAGCCTGGGAATCAACTCGCTCAGGTTTTCAGGCTGCACGATATCGCGGCTTAGGGTCGTTACACAGAAAGAATTGCGCAGGATCCAAACCAACAGATTTGTGGCTTAGAAGGTTACGGCGCTCTGGTTTTCAACACCCAAAAGTGATGGGTGCTTTGCGGAGCTCACTCACGGTTGACCATTGCACAAATTCCCATTCTGGCTTCTGCTACACCTGGACCTGCTGGACTTTGTTGTGCTTCTGCTGCATTTGTCCGTCGCAATTTTGTCAGATTCTGCTTGTGGTAAGACTGTGACAGCGCCCTGGACTTGTGCATCGCACTGTGGCCAGGTCCTGATCGCTTGTTAGATGGCTTTGAGGGAACCTACTGCCGCACCCTGCAGCACGACTCGCCAGAGGAGCCTTGCAGCGGTAGCACGAGGTTTTGCTCTCAGGGCGGGTTTGGGCCCGATGTCTGGCCCCAGTATAAACAGATAGGTATGCAATATGTATATAATACATACTATGTGACGCATTCATCGTCAGTCCAGCCATGCACTTCACAGCCTTGACCATGCAGGAGGCGAGCCGGAATGCTATTGTGAGGGAAAAGAATGCGGTGCTCCTTGGCAAGGCACACCACCAGTTCTACGGTTGATGATAAACATCCTACATTACCCATAATAAGGCATAATAAGGAATATACCATAATTCCCATAGTTTCAGGTCCTGAAGGTAATGCAGCATTTAAATCATCAACAGTAGCAGTTGCATCTGTCTCATCCCCTAAGTCGGTAGAACTCTTTGCTCTGTGATCCGATGGCATTGCTTGAATTATTCGCTGGTAACCGGAAGAGCTCACGCACTGCCTCTGCCTCTCTCTCTCTCTCTCTCTCTCTCTCTCTCTCTCTCTCTCTCTCTGTCTCTCTCTCTCTCTGTCTCTCTCTCTCTCTCTCTCTCTCGGTATTTTTCTCCATCTTTCTCTCTTTCTTGTCCTTTGCCTTCTGTTTTGGCTATGTTTCCCTGCGCGACGGGTTTGCTGTCTGAAGCCAGGTGGCCGAGAAGATTCTGGAGCACAAGAAGTTTGGCCAAGACTTGCTCACCACGGAGGACACAGCCTGTGGAGAGTTGACGTGTTGAGAGTTGACGATTTTCGAAAGCAAACAAGAGAAGAACAAGCTTCCAGCCTTCCAGTTTTCACAGGAGTGTGATTTTGCCAGTGCTGCTCATTTCTACTTCCGGCATGACTATTCTAGGGGGTCCCGTTTCATGTCGGCGAGGTATTTTATGGTAATTGCCGAGTGGTCGTCTTTGTTCGTCTCCTGCTCGGAGCTTCTACGCTGTCGTTCCTAGAACCCTGTTCAAATATATTGTATTCTGTTCGATTAGGTTATAGTATCATGGTATATCACAATGTAATATACCACCGTATAGTATATTATAGTATAATATACTATAGTATATTTCATTCTATTTCCTGTTCTGCTACCAGGATTGCTCCAACAAGGCCACCCGTGAACGAGTCTTGGTGCTCATCTTTTTGGCCAGGTGCCCTCGGGGAAATCGGAAAGGGGCCTGTCGAGTCTTCACCATGGCCCGATCTGCTCAATTAGGGCTTAGGGTTCAGGGTTTAGGGTTTAAGGTTCAGGGTTTAGGGTTTAGGGTTTAAGGTTCAGGGTTTAGGGTTTAGGTTGAAACTGACAAAGCGAGGCATGCGTGTGCAGAGAATTGCGTGATCCGATCTACTCAGTTGAACACTTGTAAGGCATCGCTGCAAGCGCAAAGAACAATCGGCTGTGTGCCTGAAAAGACCCACGCAGTATCGAACGCATGTTGTAGTATTGTAGTGCTCTAACGGATTGTCGATTGGGTGCATCTGCCGTGTGTGTCTGCCTGTTGTCGGGATGTGTGTAGACGGATTCCGCACGCTCTTACTCTTGCGTCTTTTCCTGCTTAGTGATATTCGTTTGTGTTGGTTTTTATACGTCTTACCTGTTCGTCTGTTCGCTTGCTCGCGGCATACATGTCTAGATGCCCGAGGAAAGTTGTGTCCTCGTGCGTGAGTGTGTGTTTGTGCAATATGCAGCGACTGCCAGTCGGTCGGTCAGTCGGTCAGTCGGTCAGTCGGTCAGTCGGTCAGTCGGTCGGTCTGTCTGTGTGGCTGACTCTCTGTCTGTTTGTTCTGTATCTGTACGCATTCGCGTACTGACGGACGGATTTGTGTGCGTGTATGTATGTATGTATGTATGTATGTCGGTATGTATATGCATGCATGTACGTGTGCGAAACTATGCTTGTTTTTTGTTTGTTTGGTTGGTTGCCTGCTCGTTTGGTTGGTTCGCGGGCTGGCTGGCTGGTTGGTGGGTGGGTGGGTGGGTTGTGGGTTGTGGGTTGTGGGTTGTGGGTTGTGGGTCGTGTGGTTGTTTGTCGGGACGTTTGTTCGCTTGTTTGTCTGTCTGTATGTTCGTTTGTTTATTTGTTTCTTTGTTTGTGTGTTTGTAAGTGCGTATGCGTACATGTATGCACGCGTGTCTGTTTGCTTGCCTGTTTGCTTGCCTGCTTGCTTGGCTGTTTATCTGCTTTGATGTATGTACGTATGCATGCATGGATGGCTGGCCGGATGGATGGAAGATTCATTCTGCGGATGTCTCATCGCTTCCTTGCAGATTCGACTTCAAACGCGTCCCGGTCCGAGTCTCTTCACCCCACTTTGAGCAAGAGACGAAGATGGATCCCCGAAACCCCAGACCCTTAAACTGGCCCTAAACCCTGAACTTAAACCCTGAGCTTGTTTTGAATTTAGAATTCCGTAACCCCGTAACATTTGTAAATCACGAAAGGTGGAGTTTGAGTCTTCAGGTACGATGCCGATGCCAGCGTGAAGCGCGTGGCCAACGGTGTGCACCTTTCTTGCTGCTGCGTGGTGCCACTTGTTAGTTCTGATCCATTACCTGGGTTTGGGATTCATGTCTTACTGACTTAGTGGTCGAGTCCAGGTAGATTCGTGTTCCTTGTCTCAGCATCATGACACTTTCTAGCATGTGCCACTGCTGTAGGCCTATGGAAGACGGCCGGAGGTGCACCAAAGGTGCAGAAGGCTATCATGCCTTCTGTGAGCAAGCGAAGGCCTCAGACTATCTGCTCAGTTCCGGAATGCATCGGGAACTGAGATCAGCACAGCCTCCCTGGTTTCATGAGCTCAGGACTCTTCAAAAGTTTCGAGGAGGTTCCAAAGGCCCTGGAGCGCAGAAGCTCGCGCTTGAGGCACGTCTGCTGCATAGCAGCAACCTTTCAGGTGCTCCAATCGTATGTGTTTCTACGCCTTGTTCCAGCTAGTACTGTAGACTGCTGCTGAAGCTCCTCCTGTTGGTACCACTATTGCGACGACGACCACGCCGGCGACGACCGTCCCAGCTTGTGCAGCAGTTGCATCTCCTGCCACGGCGGTGCCACGGCAAACCGCCACTACTGCTGTGAAGCTTGCGGCGATGTGAAATTGATTAATAGCAAAATGTGGCATCGCAGCCATCGCCAGAATCATACCGTTAATCAGAATCGTGGCTGCTGCCACCATCCTTGCAAGTAATAGTCTCCTCTTACGCCCCCTTTCTTATCATACTATGTTTTACCCCAACACACTATTATCTATCAAGGCCCCCCCAGTACCATCTGCCGGGAAGGTCCTGGACCAGCTGGTGAAAGCTGGGGAGCTTGAGGCGATAGAGGAAGCTATCCCCGAGGCCCGCCGATCCGAATCCGTGGAGTAGGGGTCTAGGGGCTCTACTATTTTGGGGGTTCCTTTTTGTGGTTATTATATAGTATCCCCCAAAATTCTGTTCTAGACATTTTTCTGGGGTCTTGCAGATTTTAGGGCCAGGGGTTGGGTTCAAAGTCTTTTCTGTTGAAGACGCTTAGGGTTTTTGAGTGCTCTTAGGGGGTGTATAGGGTTTCATGGCGCTTATGAAGTTTGAAGCACTTAAAGTGCTTATAAGGGAGTTTTCGAAAATAGGGGACCCTAGTATAGTACCCTAAATAGTATAGAATCCTTATTATAAAGACCCCAAATTGAGGTACCCCTAATTTTTGGAAACTCCCATAGCAATTTATAGGGCTTCCGGTTTTCAGCTTGCCAGGCGCCAAAGTTCCAGTTTCCGCCGAGCGCAGAGAGGGCGTTCGAGCCTCGGAAGCCAGCAGCGTCGCTGCTTGGGCCCCTTTGTGAGTTTATGTAGAGGTGCGCGCAGATTTATAGATGCACACCTCTATAATGTTGCATATGCATGCATGCATGTATACGTGTATGTATGTACTACACCAGCAAATGTCGAGATTGGAGCTTAGCGCCACAAAACCCCGGCTGTACTGTTGGCTCCCGAAGCCCAGAATCTTGCGGCTTCATCCTCAAGAAGCCACGGCCTGAATAGCATAGTTACCACTATTATTATTGTTTTACAGTGAACCTCAAAAAAGTTAGAAACCGGTTTAAGGCCAAATAGTGCTGGGATTCCCGATATATATATATATATATGTATATATGTATGTATATATATATATATATATATATTACTCTTCAGGAATGAGGCTATTACGTTTCCAACTCTTGGGCTTCTACTGTCGACGTTTTATCATTGTTATTACCTTGAAATATGTCGAAGTATGTTAGCCTGAAAATTGCCAATACTGTTCTGTAGGGTTTCTTGTTAAACTGCTATGTTTACGCTGCAGTATACCATATTAAAACCCGCGTCTACTTATTAATTCCACCCCATTCTACGGCTTGCTTCGATAGTCAGGGAATTGAGGAGTGTCGGGATGCATGGTAATACCGCGAGTCCGCATTGATATCAAAGCTTATCCACAAAAAGGCTAAGAAGACAACGAGTAACACCAGTCTTCGTACGTTGAGACCGTTCGAATTGCACTTCAATCAAAAGTGCGAGTTTTTGACGCTCGTGCTTATGTTGTTGTTTCTGCCGGCCATGGGTTGACTACTCTTGGGAATTGCTGTTGCAAGTTGAGTGGTTTGCATTGCTGTAGCTACATTCCAGAGTTTCGAGCTTAGGATTTCACTCTTCTTGCTTGTTTCCACTGGAAGTGCTTAAATGCATTCTTAAACGGCTGCATGAACAGCATCTGCACTGTGAATCTACCCTTAGATCCAAACAGCTGCAGCTTATCGTCATCCCAACCAAGAGTTGCATCGTCTCCATCGCCATCATCATGATTATCATCACCACCGTCATCATCGTGCACCGCCGCCACGGCCCCCACCACCACCGCCACCACTGCTGATGCCTCATTGACACGGCGTCAGTTCCAAGCCTCTGCACTCAACACCAAAGGCCTGAAGTGGCTCAACCCAT